TGGCGGACGGCGAAGTGGAGGATCACGAGCGCGACATTGAACTTGAAGTCGGTGGTGTCGCGCAGGCGCTCCAATACGCGGGCCACGGGCCAGCGCTCAAAGGACTCGACCTCGCCGTCGGTGTTCTCGGGCCGGAAGTCGGAGGGCAGTTCCAGATCGAAACAGAACGCCACGTCGTTGCGCAGCCCTTCGGGCCTGGTGCAGCGATAGCGCACCGCGCCGACCGGAACCGCCGTGGCGGCGAGCTCGGCGGGGATGCCCGCCTCCTCCGCGCACTCCTTGATGACGTTCTCCGTCAGGCCCAGGCCGTAGGGTTGGCCGCCGGCGGTGATGTGATCGAGCTTGCCGGGCGCGGTCTGCTTTGTGCGGGCGCGCTTGCCGATCCACATCTCCAGGCCTTCGGGTCCGCGCAGAAACCCGTTCACGTGGACGCCGTAGGCCGGCAGGCCGAAGCGCGGCACCGCCGCCCGCTCCATGCGAAACAGCGGCGGCCTGCCCCAGGCAAGGGCAACGGGATAGTCCTCCCCCCGCCAGTTGGGAAAGGCGCCCTCGGCGCGCAGCGCTGCCGTCACCTCAGCCAAAGCGGCGCTGCGGGCATCGAAACTGTCCAGCGCCGGCACCAGCGCCAGGTGGCCGGCAGCGGCCGTGAAGACCTCCGGGAACGCCGTCAGACGCTCGCGGAAAGCAGGGTCCACCGCGCCCAGCGCAACGCCATCCACCAGAAACGGCAGATAGTCGGCGGGGTTCCAGCGGTGGCAGGCACGAATGCGGTCGAGGTAGCTCACGGTACGGCCAGGGTGCTCATGACCTGAACCTAGCATCGGCGTTGCTGGAGACCATGCCCTTTGCGAGGCCGCGTCCTTTGGACACACGTCTGAAAGGGCGGCCCGGCCGTCCAACAGCATGCGCTAAAGAGTTTGCAGGGCAAGCGTCGCAACGCCACATGCACGGGGAAACAGGGGACGCGCCCGCAATGACGGTTCGATTTGCATAAGCGACATCGGACTCGTTCCGAGCAGCACAATCGATTGTTCTGGTGATCGCTCTGGCGGTTATCCTGGGCGCAAAACAGGAGACACGAAGCTTACGATGGTCGAAACGTCCACCCTCGAGCCCGCCGGCAACCAGACCAGCGCCTACACCCGCCGGGCCCAGATCTTTCCCACCCTCAATCAGGAACAGATCGACCGCGCCCTGCCCTTCGGCATCCGCGAGTCCCTGGCCAAGGGCACGGTGCTGTTTTCCCGCGGCGACCGCAGCGTCGACTGCTTCATCATCCTCAAAGGCTGCATCGAGATCATCGATCCGCTGAGCGACGGCGAAGCGGTGATCACCGTCCACGGGACCCACAACTTCACCGGCGAACTGGACCTCTTCAACGGCCGCAAGATCCTGGTCGGCGGGCGCATGGGGGAGGACGGCGAGGTGCTGCGCCTCAACCGCACGGCTCTGCGCCGCTTGCTGACGGCGGAGCCGGACATCGGCGAGATCATCACCCGCGCCCTCATCCTGCGGCGCGTCGGGCTGATCCAGGAAACCCAGGGCGGCGCCACCGTCGTCGGCCACCGGCGCGAGCGCGATACTCTGCGCATCGCCCGCTTTCTACGCCGCAACGGCTATCCGCACCGGGTGCTGGATGTGGACGAGGATGGCGAGGCCCAGGCCCTGCTGAAGGAGCACGGCTGCGACCCCGGACAGTTGCCCATGGTGTTCAGTGCCGGCGAAGACAGGCAGCACAATCCCTCGAACCTGGACCTCTCCAAACGCCTGGGTCTGTTTGAGGAACCGGACGGCACCAACCCCTGCGACGTCGTGGTGGTCGGTGCCGGACCCTCGGGCCTGGCCGCGGCGGTCTATGCCGCCTCGGAGGGATTGAACACCCTGGTGCTGGAGGGCGAGGCGCCGGGCGGACAGGCCGGCACCAGCTCCAAGATCGAGAACTTCCTCGGTTTCCCCACCGGCATTTCCGGACAGGCCCTGGCCGCGCGGGCGCAGGTGCAGGCGCAGAAGTTCGGCGCAGTCATCTCCCTGCCGCGCCGGGTCGTGTCCCTCGACTGCAGCGAACGGCCCTACAGCCTGCGTATGGAGGACGGCGGCACCTTCCGCTGCTGGAGCGTGGTGGTCGCCTCCGGCGCCACCTATCGCCGCCTCGACCTGGACAACCTCGCCGACTACGAGGGCGCGGGCGTCCACTATGCCGCTACGGCGCTGGAGGCCGATCTCTGCCGGGATGAAGAGGTGGTCGTGGTCGGCGGCGGAAACTCGGCGGGACAGGCAGCGGTCTTCCTGTCACGCTACGCCGCCCATGTGCATATGCTGATCCGCAGCGACAGCCTGGCGGCCAGCATGTCGGATTATCTGGTCGGGCGCATCGATGCCTCCCCGCGCATCACCCTCCACCGCAACACCCAGATCACCAGGCTGGAGGGCGCGCGCTATCTGGAGCGGGTGACCTGGCGCAACACCCTTGACGGCAGCGAGGAGACACACAGAGTCTCCAACCTCTTCCTGATGATCGGCGCCAGCCCCAACACGGACTGGCTGCAAAGCTGCGTGCGTCTGGACGACAAGGGCTTTGTCTGCACCGGTCCGGACACCGGCGGCGACTGGCCACTGGAGCGCGAGCCCAATATCCTGGAGACCAGCCAGCCGGGCGTCTTCGCCGTCGGCGATGCGCGCGCCGGATCGGTGAAGCGCGTCGCCTCGGCAGTCGGCGAAGGGTCGATCTCGGTCCAGTTCCTGCACCGCGTGCTGCCGGAACTGACCCCGGATTGACGGGACACCCGCTTATGAGAACGAGCAGAGGAGGAGCGAGCAGATGGATCTGAGTGACTTGCCGAAAATCGGCGAACCGGGCAGCGCCGCGCCCTTCCAACTGGAGCGCTTGAAGGGATGGGGGCTGGAAGACCTGGCCTCCGCCTGCACCACGCGCGAGCAGGCATTGCTGGCCCATCACTGTGCACTTTACGTGCGCATGGTCTGGCAGGACCTCTTCGGCGAAACGAGCGAGCCGCCGGTCGCGGCCCTGCGTCACTGCGTCGGCGAACTGATCGGCCGGCCGGGCATGCTGGAGCGGGCCGACCGGGGCGCCCATCTGGAAACCGGCGTCGACTACCGCGCCAGTGCCGCCGACGAAGACCCGGCACTCTACCAGGCCGTCGCTGAAGCGCTGAAGAGCCACAAACCGGGTTAGCCGACGCCGGGCCTTCAGCGCGGCCCCAACCATTTAGTCGACGGGGCGCCGCCGGGACATTAGAGATGGTCCGGCCATGAAACTGCGTTCCCTCACCCTGCTGCTGCTCGCCGAACTGGCCGCCATGTCGCTGTGGTTCGTCTCCGCCGCCGTGCTGCCGGACATGCTGCGCGAGGCGGCGGTCTCGCCCTTCCGCCAGGCGGCGCTGTCGAGCGGCGTACAGGGCGGCTTCGTCGTCGGCTCCCTGATCTCCGCCATCCTCAACATTCCCGACCGCTACGACCCGCGCCGGGTGCTCGCCGCCTCGGCCATCGCAGCCGGCGGAGTGAACGCCCTGCTGTTGGTGGTGGCGCCCGGCAGCCTGACCGCCATCGCCGCACGCTTTGCCACCGGCGCCCTGCTGGCCGGGGTCTATCCTGTGGGCATGAAGATCGCCGTCGGCTGGGGCGAGCGCGACCGCGGCTTCCTGGTCGGCGCGCTGGTGGGGGCCCTGGCGCTGGGCTCGGCCTCGCCTTACCTCATCGCCTTCGGCGGCGGCGCCGACTGGCGCCTGACCGTCGCCGCCGCCTCCCTCGCGTCACTCTTCGCCGGGCTCCTCAGCCTGGGTGTCGGCCTCGGCCCCTACCACCGCACGGCCCAGCGCTTCGATCCGAGCGTCATCGTCACCGCCTGGACCAACCGCCGGGTCCGCCTGGCTTACGCCGGCTACCTCGGCCATATGTGGGAGCTCTACGCCATGTGGGCCTGGGTCGCCGCGGCGACCGCGGTGTCTTACGGCGCCACCCTGCCGGCCGACGATGCCGAGCAACTCGCCAAGCTCACCGCCTTCCTCGCCATCGGCGCCGGTGCCATCGCCTGCGTCCCCGCCGGCTTCGCCGCCGACCGCATCGGCAAGGCGCGGGTCGCCATGCTGGCCATGATCGTCAGCGGCGCGGCGGCCATCGGCACGGCGGCGACCTTCGGCGGCCCGGTCTGGCTGACCTTCGCCATCGTCATCGTCTGGGGCATCAGCATCATTCCGGATTCCGCACAGTTCTCCGCCCTGGTTGCCGATGCGGCACCTCCGGCCCAGGCCGGCAGCCTGATGACCTTCCAGACCGCGCTCGGCTTCGCCCTCACCTTCGTCACCGTGCAGGTGACGCCGGTGCTGGCGGAGACCTTCGGCTGGTCCACCGTGCTCTTCGGCCTCGCCCTCGGCCCCGCCTTCGGCATCGCCGCCATGGCCAGGCTGCAGGCCATGCGCTGACAACGGCGTTCAGTCCTGGCCCGTGAACATGGCATCGAAGCGGCGCTGGATCTCTTCCGGTTCGAGGGTCTCGATGGAATGACCGATCAGCCAGTCGTAGCCGAAGGGATCGCGCACGGTGCCGGAGCGTTCGCCGTAGAAGTGATCCTGCGGCGGACGCAGCAGTTGCGCGCCTGCCGCCACGGCGCGCTCGATCAAGGCGTCGGCATCATCCACATGGAGGTGGATGACGAAGGAGATCGGACCATCATCGTGCTCCTGGGCATGGATGCCGAACTCCGGATAGGCGTCAGACAGCATCAGGGTCGTCCCCCCGAGCAGAAGCTGCGCATGGCCGACGCGCCCGTCCCGGTCGGAGAGGCGGAACTTCTCGGTCGCGCCAAAGACGGTCTTGTAGAATTCGATCGCCTCCCCCGCCGACTTCGGGCGCAGGTAAGCGAAGAGTTCGTGGATCGCCATGATGACGTCCCTCCCATTTTCGGACCTTGGTCGTCAGGCTTGAGTGTCCATCAACGCCGTCTCGGCGTCTTGAAGGTTTTTGACCCTGATGCCGATCTGCCGTCAGAGCGCGACATGGCGGGCGAAGGGCGGCGCCAGACGGCGATAGCCGCCGGGCGTCAGACCGGAGAAGTGACGGAACTCGCGGGCGAAGTGGGCCTGGTCGGCATAGCCCTGCCAGGCCGCCAGATCCGCCAGGGATGACGCCGCCGCCGAGTTGGCGCCCTCTGCCAGGGGCCCCAGGGCACGCCCGAAGCGCAGCAGCCTGGCATAGGTCTTCGGCTTCAACCCGACGGCTTCCGCAAAGCGCTTGGTAAAGGCCCGATGGCTGTACCCGCTCGCCGCCGCAACGGCGCCGACCGGCGCCCCGGCGTCAAACCCGGCCAGCGCCTGGGCGATCAGCGGATCGAGTCCCGTAACCTTCGGCAGCCGCGCAACGAGGGCGGCTTCGAAGATGGCGAGCCGCTGCGCCGCCGATCCGGCCTCCCACAGCGCCGCGCGCAGGGCGGCCACCGGCGCCGCGCCCCAGACATCCTCCAGCGGCAGGTGCCGGCCTACGAAGGTGCCGGCGGACGCGCCGATCAGAAGCCCGGCCGCGCCCGGCCGCAGCGCAGCCCCGACTGTCGGGACGGGCCGGGAGACGTCTTTCACGTAGGGCGCCAGGCGGGGGCCGCCGATCACCGCCGTACTCACGGTGTATCCTTCGAGGTCGTCACGATGGCGGAAGATCCGCAGCGGCTGTTCTCCCAGACGAATGACCAGCTGGGTGGACACGGAGGGCAGCACCGCCTCGCGACCGCTGCCGGAGGGCGCGCCGGAAGGATCCGATGCCCAGAGCTGCTGGACGAAGGGCCTCAAAACGTCACGTGGCTGGCGTACAAGTGGCACGGCCACCTCCGGCTGGCAGTCCCGGCACTACATTAGGCGACAGCGGCGGGCTTGAGGAGACTTTCGGCTCGATTTCCCGCAGACAAGAGGCTAAGCACTGGCGGAGGGCGCGCAGTCGCGTTTCTTTCGCCCGACCGTCCTCATCGACCCCCAACGGTGGCATCCTCGTGACAAGCATGGATCTGAACTGGCGTGCGGAAGAAGCCTGCATGAGCGCCTGGCCTTCGCCGCGGCAGATGCTTTTGAGCGGCTGGCTGCTGCGCGCCGCCGGCGGTTCCACCCGGCGGACCAATTCGGTGAACCCTCTGCGCGGCGGCCCGCGCGATCCGGCCGCGATCCTGGCTGCTGCCGAAGCCACCTACGCCGCGCTCGATCAAGCGGCGCTGTTTCGCGTCCCCTCCATCGCGGCAGCGATGGACGGGCCGCTGGCCGCCGGCGGCTACACGGCGGAGGGCGAGACCCTGACCCTCTTCAACGGCCTCTCCGCATGGCCGCAGCCGCAAAGCGCGGCGACGCGCCTGACCGCGGAGGCCGACGGCGACTGGCTGCAGGCCCGCGCAGCCCTGAGCCCCGCCGATACGGCCGACAGCGCGGTCTTCGAAACGATGGTCCGCACCATCATGCTGCCGCGCATCTTCGCCGCCACCCGCCACGAAGGGGCGGTGGTCGCCCTGGCCTATGGCGTAGTGCACGACGGCCTGGCCGTGGTCGAAGCGGTCGTGACCGATTCCCGCTGGCGCCAGCGCGGCTTTGGCCGCCAGACCGTCGGCGCGGTCCTGAACTGGGCTGTAACTGCGGGGGCCGGGGCCGCCTGCCTGCAGGTGGTGGCCGACAATCCCGCGGCCCTTGCGCTTTACCGCTCCCTCGGCTTCACGACGGAGCTCTACCGCTACCACTACCGCCGCAAGTTCCCGACGGTGTGACTGACCCTAGTCTTTGCCCGGCTCGTCACGGCCTTCCAGGAAGGCGCGGGCGCCGGGATGCCACGGCACGCCCAGGTCGTCGGCGCCCTGGCCGGCGGGGACCAGTTCCGTTCCGACCAGGGCGGAGGCCACCAGCCAGGCATGCCGTTCGGGAAACTCGGCCCGGGCGACCAGAAGCCGCTCCTCCAGCGGCAGCAACAGGCGAAGGGCGACGGGCCCGTAGGCGGCAAAGCCGTTGCTGCCGGCCAGCATGGCCGTGGCGTCGTCCGGGCCCAGGGTTGCCACGTCCATCTGCGCCGTCGCCAGCAGGCTGGCCAGGCGCCCGGCGTTGGGCGCACGCGCGACCCGCGACTTCGCCGCCGGAAGGTGTTCGTCCAGCAGCCCCACCACCCGCTTGGCCAGATCGTAGGTCGTGGGATCGGCCCTGTGGCAGCCGATCAGCAGGTGCTTCTTGCGGTAGACCACCCACTGCCCATAGGGCGTGTGGCCGGCCAGCAGCACGGCCGCCGCCGCCCCGGCGGCGGCCCGCAGGCCGAGGCCGAGCGCTTTGCGGCGGGTGCGGCTCGCGATCACTCTTCGAAGACGTCCTCGTTCAGCACGGCGGTGACGACATAGTTCGGCACGTCGACCACCTGCCCGATCCGCAGGTCGACCGCAACGCTGGCCAGGATGTAGGCCTGCTCCGCCGTCAGGCCGTGCTCGCGCTGAATGTAGGCGATCATCTTGATCAGCGCGTCGCGGGCCGCCAACGTCAGGTCCTCGGAAAGGTTGGTGAGGTTGGCGATCTTCTCGCTGTCCAGATAGGTGTGCGGCGGCGGGACCTCGCCCGCGGCCTTCAGCGGCAGGCCGATGGTCTGGTAGAACTTGGAGGGCTCGATGTCCTTGATCTGCGTGCCGCCTTCGACTTCGGGCCCCGTGATGACCGCGCCCTGGCCCTTGCGGATGTCCACCGTCAGCGTCACCACGGCGCCGGTTTCGATCGCCGTGCCGGACACCTCGCCGTCGCCCTGGGCAAAGTGCACATCGCCGACGAAGAGCCCGCAGCCATCGACGAAGCAGGGCAGCAGCAGGGTGGTGCCGACCTGCATCTGCTGCACGTCCATGTTGCCGCCGTTCTCGCGCGGCGGAACGGTGCGCAGGCACTGATCGCGCGCCGGGCCTTCGGGTCCGCAGACTGCCGAGGGCAGAGCCCCGATGGGCTGCGGCGGCAGGGCGACGCCGCCGGCCTCGGCGAGCAGCCTTTCGCGCTCCAGCCAGGTCTCGACCTCCGGCTGGCCGGGCATCACGCCGACCGATCCCATGAAGGCCTCGTAGGGCACCTTGATGCCGGGCATCTGGTCGGAGACGGCGTGGGTGCGGCTCAGTTTCCAGTTCACCAGATAGGGCTCGGTGTAGATGTCGCGCAGGAAGCCGAAGCCGGGCACGATGACGGTGTAGCCGTATTCGTCCGGTTCGATGTCGACCAGGGTGACGGCGATCACGTCGCCGCGCTCGGCGCCCTCGATGTGCACCGGTCCGGTCATGGGATGGACGAGATTGAGGTCCAGCGCGGCCAGATCGTCGGCATTGGAGTCGAGCGTGAGATCGGAATCCAGCGCATCGCGCGTGTGGTAGATGATCATGTCACCGGGGTTGGCGCGGACCACCGCGGGGATGTCCGGGTGGTAGCGGTTGAAGCAGTTCGGGTCGTCGACGCAGTGCGCGCCCTGCTTGTCGACCACCACCCGGTTTTGCCACTTGACGTCGGTGGTGTCGGCCACCGCGTCCCCAACGGCGCCCCCCACAGCTCCGATGAGTGCAACCGCACAGACTACGAACAGAGTTCTCATGATCCGCCTCCTGTCATGCCGGCTTTTTCTTGGTTCTTCGCGCCGGCGCATTGCAGCGGGATGTCCCAGCCAGATCCCCGCCGAACAAACAGGATAGCAGGGCCGCCTTTAGACCGGAAGTTTGGCGACCGGAAGGTAGGGCGGTCCGGTCATAGGCCTACGCCCGTTACGGCGCAAGGTGGACGACCAGGTCGACGCCCTCCTCCGCGCCCGGGGCCTGGAACGGGCGGGTGAAGTGGTCGTAGTCCGCTTCGCAGGGCGAGAAGGCATGCCCGCCGTCCGCATTTCGCTGCCGCAGGCGCGCCTTGCAGAGGTCGTCGGGCAGGTCGAGAAAATGCAGACGGTGCGCCTGCGGGCGGCGGGGCCGCCGTCATCAGCCCGGCGCGCTAACGCGCGCCCACAGACTGCTGACCCACGTGCTTTTGCGAGGTCAGTACCGTGTCCACCTCGAAAACCTGGCGCAGGCAGCGCGCGATGTAGTCGCCGGTCTGCACGTCCAGGCCGTCGACCTGGATGTCGATGGCAAGGTCGCGGCCCTTCGGCCCCGTCACGTCGCTGTGCCAGCGGGTCGGCACCAGGCCGCGCTTGGCGAAGAGCTCCAGGACCCGGGGCATCACCCCCGGCTCCGCCGCGGCCAGGATGGAAAAGCAATAGACCGGCGCCGCAGAGGGCGCCTTAGGGGGCGCCCCAGAGGGCGTCTGAGTACTGAGGTCAGAACGGGAAGCAGCGGGCCGCAGGGCGGCCGGCGCGTAAACGGAATGCATGGAAGCGGACATTGTCTGTCCCCTGAAACGGTGATCGCGAAACGTCGAAACGGCTTGTCCCGGCTACCCTCTGGGTGCCGGGTCCGTAATTCGAATGGCGATGCCGTTCAGGCGGAAACTGTCCATAACGCCCCGATGAGACGGGATCGGGGCGCAAATGTCAACCGGGGCAAGCGGGGTGCATGGGCAGTCTACGCCCTTCCCACCCCGCGTTAACCCTGATTATCCCCGCAGATCTAGGGCTCGATGGCCTCGACCTCGATGATCAGGTCCACCTCGTCGCCGACGGCCGGAGCATAAGCAGCCATGCCAAAGTCGGTGCGCTTCAGGCTGCCGCGGGCGGAGAAACCCACCGTCTCCTTGCCCTGATAGATCGGGTGTGGCGACTTCAAGTTGAAGGTGACGTCCAGGGTAACCGGCCTGGTCACCCCTAGCAGGGTCAGATCGCCGGTCAAGGTGCCGGTGTTGTCGCCGGTCTTGGCGATCCCGGTGCTGGTGAAGGTGATGGTCGGGAACTGCTCGACGTTGAAGAACTCGGCGCTGCGCAGGTGCTCGTCGCGCTTGGTGTGGTTTGTGTCGAGGCTGGCGGCCTGCATCACGATCTCCACCGCGGAGTTCTCGACCGCGGCTTCATCGAAGGTGATGCTGCCCTGCACGTCGCCGATGCGGCCAACGGTGGCGGAGTAACCAAGGTGGTCGACCAGGAAGATCACATCGGCATGAGCGGAATCGAGGGTGTAGGTCTGGGCGGCCTGGGCGCCCTGGATGGAGGTGAACCCAAGCGGCAGCGCCAGAAGTGCGGCGGCAAAGGCGAGGCCGAAGCGGCGGATTTTCAGGATCGTCAAGAGCGGCATGAGGGTTCTCCCGTGGTGTCGTCGTGAAGGTTGGCAAGAGCGGCACTAGGGCCCAAAGCTATGACCCGGCCCGGCTGGCCGCGATGTCGATGCGGATGACCACCGCCTCCCCCACCACCGAGGTGTCGGCCCAGAGGCCCTGGCCGACGCCGTAGTCCAGACGGCTGACCTCCAGTTCGCCGCTGGCCCGGGCGCGCCGAACGCCGGCTTCTTCGGTAATGGTGAGGGTGAACGGCAGCACCACCGGCAGGGTGACATCGCGCATGGTGAGATTGCCCGCCGCCTCGAAGCGGTCGCCGCCGAGCGCGGTGAAGCCTTCGGCCATGAAGCGCGCCTCGGGCCACTGGGCCACATCGAAGAGCGCGGCGGAGCGGATGGTGTCGTCGCGGTCCTTGCTTTCGCTGTTGACGCTGGCGATGTCGATGACAACGGCGACCCGGCTGGCGGCCAGGTTGTCGGGGTCGAAGGCGATCTCCGCGGTGAAGGCCTCGAAGGCGCCTTCCACGGGCGCGCCGGACTGGGTGGCGACGAAGCCGACGCGGCTGTCCTCCCCGACTGTCCAGAGCGGGACATCGTTGGCCACCGCTGCAGCGCTCCAGAGCGCGCAGGCTGCGGCCAGGGCGGGTGCAAGGGCCGGCAGGACCCGCCTCATCGCCCGGCACCCGGCCCGGCGCCCGGACCGGCGCTCGGCCCGGCGCTCGGCCCGGCAAGCGGCAGCATGCGGGTCAGCACGTCGTCCTTCACCACGAAGTGGTGGCGCAGGGCGGCCAGGATGTGGATGGCCAGCAGCGCCAGGATCACCCGGGCCAGCAGGTGGTGGGCGCTTTCCAGCACCTGCTTCACCTCCTCGCTGGGGCCGATCAGCGCGGGCAGGGTGAAGAGGCCGAAGACCACCACCGGAAAGTTGGCCGCCGCCGAATGCAGAATGCCGATGAGCGGCTGGGCCAGCAGCACGACATAGAGCGCGACATGGCTGGCATGGGCGGCGCGGCGCTCCCAGCCCGCCATGCCTTCCGGCAGGCTCGGCGGCGGCGAGTACCAGCGCCAGGCCAGCCGCAGCACCGCCAGCGCCAGGATGGTCACGCCCACCGACTTGTGCAGGTTGATGATCTGCACCTTCTCCGGCGAGAGCGTCATACCGTCCTGGATCCAGGCCAGCGCGAAGATCGCAATGAAGAGGGCCACCGTCACCCAGTGCAGGATCTGCGCAACGGCCCCGTAGCGATCGGCGCTGTTGGTCATCCGCATTGTCCGGCGCATCGTCCATAAATCCCAGTTGGCCAGGCGGCGCAGGCAGAGAGGCCGCCGGGCGGAGCCAGCCTAGGGCCGGCGCCCGGACGGCGCTGAATCAAATATGTTTGAACGCCCGCCGCCTTGACAGTGGCGTCCCGGAAAATATACGGCTCACCACCCCGATCCGTTCCCGGTCGGTGTTGAGGTCCGGGCGCCGCTCGCCAGTCAGACGCATGCCCCTGCCTTGCCACAGTCCCCTGTCACCCTCGGACTTGATCCGAGGGTCCACCGGGCCGTTCGCTGGAGCCTCTGTCGGAGAGGTTTGGACTGCCTCCACAATGGATGCTCGGGTCAAGCCCACTGGTGTCC